ATAAAATTGAATAAACTGAAAATTAACATCATAACTCCAAAAATAATGATGGAAACTTAAAATTTTTTCATTTTATGATTATATAGCTTGTGCCAAATAAATTAATCCAAAGTAAAGAATTTTGCTCCTATTATTCATATTTTTTTTATTAAAAACTTAATATGTAATATATTACGCCATCTAACGTAAATATATTTATGAATTTTTAAATTTATTATGGGTGTTATATTTTTTATGAAACATATCTGTTCTGTAGGCATGACTAAAATACGCGTCCCCATAAACTACGAGTCCGTATGCGTCCCCGGTCAAAGGGGTTTAATTTATATAATATTAATAAAAAATCTTATTTAGCTTTATAAGATGAGTTAAAAAATGTTTTTTATGATTTAAAAAAAAATGATAACTTAATAAAATTTTTAAAGAATTATTTTTTTACATGAAAAAACTACGCGTCCCTACGCGTCCCCGGTCAAGATACAATTTTTTTAAAAAAATAAAAGCAGATTCATATTTAGCTCATTAAATGGATACAGAAAATGTTATTTGTTATTTTTAAAAAAAGTGGTTACTTAGTAAAATTTTTAAAAAATTATTTTTTTAAATGAAAAACTACGCTTCCCTACGCGTCCCCGGTCAAGATACATTTTTTTAAAAAAAATAAAAGCAGATTCATATTTAGCTCATTAAATGGATACAGAAATTGTTTTTTTTATTTAAAAAAAAAGTGGTAACTTAGTAAAATTTTTAAAATACTAATTTTTTACGTGAAAAAACTACGCGTCCCCGGTCAAGATACAATTTTTTTTTTTAAATAAAAGCAGATTCATATTTAGCTCATTAAATGGATACAGAAAATGTTTTTTTGATTTAAAAAAAAAGTGGTAACTTAGTAAAATTTTGAAAAAACACTTTTTTTCTTCATTTTTTGACTAAAATACGCGTCCCTACGCGTTCCCTGTCAAGATAGATTATTTTTATAAAAATGAATATAGAATCGTGTAAAGTTTATCAAGGAGATTCAGAAAATGGTATTAATAATTTTTTTTTTAAAAAATTTTATATTAAAAAAATTTCCAAGCCAGCTTTAAACACATAATAATGGTGGTAAAATTTTCTCAAACCTGCCAAGCGGCAGTGGTATCAAAATTATGATATTAATACTAGTTAAAAAATATTGATTAAATTAAGTTAATTTTAATAAATTAAATATATATGAAGAATTATAACAAAATATAAAGTTAAAGGCGGGCTGAATGGTAAGATCGTTTGCCTTCGTATCGTTAGATCCTAAGTTCGAATCCGTAGGAAAAAAAATATTTAAAAAAAAAATTTAACTTTACACTCTATAGTCTCCTTAAATTTTAAATACATTAAGGAGATAAGAAAACGTTCATTTCTTGATTACTACGATTATATATATCAGATGTAAATCATTAATATTCAATCCGCAAGATAGCGTTTATCAATTTAATATAATTTATAAAAATATTCTAACTTTTTTCTCATTCTAAATTATCAGTAAAAAAAATAGATAGGTTGAATAAATTTATTTTATTGTTTTCGAACTATTTAAATAAATATATTAAGAAAAAATAATAATTAAAGATTGAATCGATACTTACCTGCGAACAAACTTATGTTTTTTTTATCATCCTCAGGTTATTATTGCTATAAAATACACAAATTTCTTATAACTTTAAGACACTACATCTTCTTAATAAATTTAAAATAATTTATAAAAATATTCTAAATTTAATGCTCAATATAGTGAGGCCTGTTAGAGACAGACGGTCTCGCAGGTCGCGTAGCCCTTAGTGGCTATGGTACCAACTATTGGTACGGAGGAAGAGAATCTTCCTCGAGAGGCTCTCGACGTGCATCTGGATGCTATAGATGAGGTGGCGATCATATCGTCCTATTTTGTCAAGAGGGCCGTGCCCTAGAGTCTAATTCCACGGTGCCCTCTCGCCTATCTGCGCCGATTTCCATAATCCCCATCCCCGTATCGGCGCCGATTCCCATAATCCCTATCCCCGTATAGGCGCCGATATCCACAATGCCCATTCCCGTAACGGCGCCGACATTAAGTAACCAGGAACCATGTGTTGACTTGGCGTCGGATGTTTTTAGATTAGTTATTAATCCCAAGTCTAATAATGATCATCATACAGATGATGAATTATTAGATTATGGGGAGTAATTTTTTTTTTTTAAATTAATAAATTTTAAATTTTTTAAATCTAATATAATGGTTATATTTCAGGTTTAAAATTTTAAACCCGCTATATATCCATGGTCTTGGTTTTTTAAACTAAGACCTAAAAGCTTTTAAAAATGGTTTCCTCCACGTGGCTAAGAGCGGAAACATAAAAATGTGTAAATTAATAATTTCCAACTTTTTATGGCTAAAACCATCATAGAGAAAAAATTTCTTTAATTAATACAAAGTTAAATAGTTATTTATAAATTTTAATATTATTATCAAAATAATCATGCTTATTGAATAAATATTTTTAAAAATAATTATATAATTATTCAAGAAAACAGATATCGTCATCAAACATAATACACTATCAAACATTCGTAAGACGAAACCTTAGTCATATGATCCATTGGATAACGATTAAAATTTTAACAATAATCTTTAAAGACAACCGGGATAGAAACACCAATACTATTTTACAAAAAATTAACATTTATTTTTTTTAACCATATTATGCTTACTTTTTAATGTATAGGATATTATAAATGTTAATGTACTATAATTGTTTATTTTACTTATAGTTATTTTTTTTTATTATCAACTTTATTGATAATAATATCTTTTTTAAATTATACCATAAAAATATGTTATATAAATCATATTATATTTAATAAATGATATTTTAATTCAAATAATAAATGGTTTATAAATTATTTGTTTTATAAATTTGGTGAAATAAAATTAGTCTGTTTTAATTGACCATTTAAAAAATTAATTTAGTTTTAAAATTTTATGAAAGTTATTGAAAATAGAAGTAAGGAGGAAAAACATTATTCCCAATATATTAAGATTTTATAATATCCGTGCAAAAGTAAAAAATTTACTAAGTAGATGTAGTGTCTTAAAGTTATAAGAAATTTGTGTATTTTAGAGCAATAATAACCTGAGGATGATAAAAAAAACATAGGTTTGTTCGCAGGTAAGTATCGATTCAATCTTTAATTATTATTTTTTCTTAGTATATTTATTTAAATAGTTCCAAAACAATAAAATAAATTTATTCAACCTACCTATTTTTTTACTGATAATTTAGAATGAGAATAAAATTAGAATATTTTTATAAATTATATTAAATTGATAAATGCCATCTTGCGGATTGAATATTAACGATTTACATCTGATATATATAATCGTAGTAATCAAGAAATGAACGTTTTCTTATCTCCTAATGTATTTAAAATTTAAGGAGACTATATAATATAATGCTAAATTTTTTTTTTTTAATATTTTTTTTCGTACTCCAGGATTCAAACCTACTAACGATAGGAAGGCAAACGTTCTTACCATTCAGCCCCCCTTTAACTTTATATTTTGTTATAATTCTTCATAAATATTTGATTTATTAAAATTAACTTAATTTAATCAATATTTTTAACTATTATTAATATCATAATTTTGATACCACTATCGCTTGGCAGGCTTGAGAAAATTTTACCACCATAATTATGTGTATGAAGCTGACTTATAATTTTTTTAATATAAAATTTTTTTTAAAAATTTATTAATATCATTTTCTGAATCTTATTCATTTTTATAAAAGTAATCTATCTTGACCGGGGACGCGTAGGGACGCGTATTTTAGGGGAAAAAAAGTGTTTTTTCAAAATTTTACTAAGTTTCTACTTTTTTTTAAAATAAAAAAAACATTTTCTGTATCCATTTAATGAGCCAAATATAATTCTGCTTCTTTTTTTTAAAATGTATCTTGACGTTGGACGCGTAGGGACGCATAGTTTAGTCAAAAAAATTTTTTCGAAAATTAATTTTTTTAAAAAAAAAATTATAATACCATTTTCGGAATCTTCTTGAAAAACTATACACGATTCTATATTCATTTTTATAAAAATAATCTATCTTGACCGGGGACGCGTATTTTAGTCAAAAAATGAAGAAAAAAAGTGTTTTTTTTTAATTTTACTAAGTTACCACTTTTTTTAAAAATAAAAAAAAACATTTTCTGTATCCATTTAATGAGATAAATATGGATCTGCTTTTATTTTTTAAAAAAAATTGTATCTTGACCGGGGACGCGTAGTTTTTTCATGTAAAAATTAGTATTTTAAAAATTTTACTAAGTTACCACTTTTTTTTTAAATAAAAAAAAACATTTTCTGTTTCCATTTAATGAGCTAAATATGTATCTGCTTTTATTTTTTTTAAAAAAAATGTATCTTGACCGAGGACAAGTAGGGACGCGTAGTTTTTCATTTAAAAAAATTATTTTTTAAAAATTATACTAAGTTATCATTTTTTTTAAATCATAAAAAACATTTTTTATATTCATTTAATGAGCTAAATATGAATCTGCTTTGACTGGGGACGCGTAGGGACGCGTAGTTTTTTCATGTAAAATAAATAATATTTTAAAAATTTTACTGTTATCATATTTATTTTTAAATCATAAAAAACATTTTTTAACATCTTATAAATCTAAATAAGATTTTTTATTAATACATAAATTAAACCCATTTGACCGGGGACGCGTAGGGACGCGTAGTTGAGGACGTGTATTTTAGTCATGCCCCTGTTCTATACATATTTTAAATTTATGAACTACTCTTTCTTCCATATTCTATTTTATTTATTTAGATAATTTTAATTTTGGATAAATTTGATTTACATAATACAAATACATTATTTATATTTTTAAAATATAATTGATAGGCAACCTGTCTATTCTCAGTTTACCTGTCCATTCGCAGTTTATATGTCAATTATCAGTTTAGTTACACCCTAGGTTCAGTAAATTTATCAGGATAATTATGTCCACTGTAAATTTATTACCATTTGTTAGAGGTATTGATTTCTCTGGACAAGATTATGTTTACATTTTTTTATGGCTCGTATATAACTAAATCTTCTAGAAGAATAAAATATCTGATAAAATGTGTCATATGAAAGGTCTTCATTGGTTTAAAGCTTGTTCTTCAGAGTTAAATGAAGTTCCATCAGAATTGCTTAATCTTGATAAATTAGTAAATTATCAAGTTAATAAATATATTTATAAATCTTATAGGAAAATATTACACTGATTGATAACAATATAAAGGAAATACCTAATTGGTTGGGTAATAAAAACAATCTAAGATATTTAAATCTTAAAAAAAATTTACTATCTTACAAATCCTTTTCTCCTGAATTATTTTTGCTAAAAGACTTAACTGTTATTGTAATTTTGTTAAATTTACAATTTTTTAATCAATATTTATATATAGGACCTTAGTTATAATAATATAGAACATATACCTATTCAAATGTTAGAGGCACAGGGAATTCAAGTTTTAAATTTAAGCCATAACAAGTAAACAAAAAGTGAAATAAAAAAACATGTGTCATTATTTTTATTTAATTTGAGTAAAATTATATATTTATATAATATTAAAAAGAATCACAAAGATAGCAAATCATTTTTTTACAAGCCTTGTTGATCTTATTTATCTTGATATTGGTGGAAATTTGTTAGGTTTATTATGAATTTATTTTATATAATTCTAAACAAACAAATTTAATTGTTTGTTTATTATATTTGAAAATTGTTAAAGGATCTTGATCATAGATTTACAAAGCTTGGCGTGGCCCATCCAAAATTTTGGTCTGTCAATTAAAAAACAAATTATAACATGCCTGGTATGCTGGGCAAAATATTTAGTGGGCCTGGCCAGATTAGTATATATAGATTTTTCTAGCCTATAGATGGTTACAGTATATTCATAAAAATTCAGACAGGGCCTCACAAATCTATGTTTTTTTTTGTAAAAATAATATTCACCAGCTAGGGCATTAAAAAAATAAATATTATTTTTTAATTTTAAGCTATTTTGATTTTTTTTTTTAAGATCTTTATATTTATTCATAATCATTATTACAATTTTAAATAAAATAAAATATACTTATTACTTTGTATTTTAATAAATGTCTAATTGAAATACTAAATCTATAAATAATATAGTAAATTTACAATACATGATAAATCAAATATAAATGATTTATAAAACCATTGTTAAATAGATAGTCATAGGTATAAGTGCCTTAATTGATATTAGGGAAAAAATGGATACAGATAAGAAAATATTGATGGCCAGAAATTTTCTACAAAAAAATATATGGACTGGGGTTGATTTTTCATAAAATTTTAAAGGGCCAAGCCTGATGGGCCAGGCCACGCAAATTAAAAAAACTATAATAACTTGTGCAAAAATTATTAATGGGCCAGATCTATAATCTTGATAAGTATTTAATACCTTATGTATTAGTAGTATTAGTGATGTTTTTAAAATTTCAATGTATCATAGACTAGAGCAGATCAATTTCACCCAAAGTCTAGTCAACATTTATTTATATATTTTAAATATAATATTATTGAATACAAAGTAAATTATTTATTGTTGCCAATTTAAGATATCTAGATATTTTACATTCGTGACAAGGATGGAATGCAAAATTAATTATAAAGTTAAAAAGTAATTTGAAAATATATTAATAAAAATAATAATCAAACAAGAGATAAACCAAAATATAAATGAAAATCAAGAAACCATAATAAAATAAAATTGTCCAAATGATCAAAAAATAGCAGATTCTAACCATTTTTAGAATTTTTAATCAATCATATAATAGCCAAATAATCTATTACTTTATTGAATCCTTTAATTGTATAATATTGTAATTTTGTAAAATCAGATAAATCATAATCTGGTTAAACATTCATTTCTTACAAAGAGAAAAATCTTCTGATTATAATCCATTGACTTGGAAAACATCAATATATAAATAAAATACAAATCTGTCACTTGTAAAGACCAAGGCCTTAGCCAGGAATTTCTTGCTGGGTATCTAACTGTTTACTTGTGGGCAGGGTAATATTTTTTTGAAATAAAACAAATAGTTTGAATTAAATGTTATATTCTGGTTATTTTTTTCATGAGCTAAGGAAATACTAAATTATAGAGCTCTTTTTAGTGTAATGAAGCTCTTTTTAGTGTAGAGAATGAGACCTCACAAGAAGCCAGTATTGCTCTAATTGGCATTTATACAATTCTTTGAATGCAAGATGATATTTTTTTATACATAATATTTGCGATATTTTTAAAATCATATGTTTCTTTAACTCTGCGACTAATAATCCTTTTGCTATTTCTTTTCTTTCCACGTTTAAGTCTAATAATTATTCTAATGGGGCTATTTTATCTGATATAAAATAATAGATGTCAAGGGGGGGGGGAATTATAATCATTTTGTGTAACTATCTGAAAAACGATCTGCAATACAATAATTTAATAATAATTCTTTTTCAAAGAATTGTAATCTTGATAATTTTTGAGGATGAGATTTTCAGCCATAATTCTTATCAAATTAAAAGAATTATCATTTTTTTTAATATTAATTATATGGAATTAATACAATTTTTGGCACCGACTCTATTAATACTTACTGACTGTAGATTAGTGGATCTATTGTTATTACTTCATAAATTTTAATTGATAGTATAAATGACATTATATTGTCAATTAATGTCATTTATATTAACTAGTGTTGTTAAAGTAACTAGTTAAGTAACCTGTAACTAGTTACATTTTTGCTAAAAAATAACTGTAACTAGTTATATTTTAAAAATTGTAACTGTAACTAGTTATATTTTTTAAATGTAACTGACAAAAGTAACTAGTTACTTCTAAAAATATGTATGTATAAATCTAAATAATATATTCAAATAATTAATTTTATTTTTAATATGTAACTTGATTTTTTATTAAAAGAATATTAAAATTATAATTAATATACTATAACTTTATAAAAATGTATAATTAAAAGAAGAGAAATAAAAAAAAATAAAAAAATATATTTAGGTTTGGTCGGCGGGGCTTAATGACCCATGTATAGATATACAGTTGGATCGATAAATTTATTAATATCTTTGTTTTAGATAGAAGCATCACATGTGATTGAAAGTAACCTTTGCCCTATTATTTTGAATAATTTTAGGGCTTGGGGTCCAAATGATCCACAGGTGTCTGAGACTACCCGAACAAACAGATTATTAAGATGGCTATATTTATTTTTTGTATTTTTAGTTTAGTGATGGAATTAATAGTAAAAGATCTGACAAAACGATCTACACATATATAATTCCAAGTGAGGGGTAAACCTTGGTTCCAAGGGACTAGCTTTGTGCTAAATTAATTTTAAATTAAATTTAAAATTTTGTTTAAATGTCTGATTGTGTTCGCAAAGGCTATGTCGAAATAGATTTTCTTTTCTTAAATTGTTACATTGCTGTGTTTTATAATTTTGTAACCAAATTCAAAAAATAAACCTAATTTTTAATATTATATTTCCTTACAAATTTAGCACAATATTTTCCATATTCACAAGTTGCTGGCAATATTTATACTCTGGAATTTCATAAGTTATAAATGTATTTTTTTTAAATTTTACTAAATTAGAGTATAAAACTTTGTATAAGGAAAGACAAAGATTTAGATTATTTTGGAATTAAATAATTTTTGTATAAAATGCTAAATTAGTCATATATACTTGCTAAAAAGACAAAGACTATGAAAGAAAAACAAAATATTATAATGCAGATAATATCATTTCCTTCAACAAAAGATTAATCAAATAACCTTCATTCTATAGGCTAAATTTAATTTTTTTGAAAATTGGGGAATTATCTAGGGTATTTGTCATGGTCCTCTTGTTTAGAATTTTTTTGCCTTCCAAAAAAATAGGTAAATTCTATGATCTAAAGTGTTTTCCAAATTATACAATAGGATGCATGCTTATATAATTAAATAAAAAATAAATTATCTAATACCCTTCCCTTATTATTCTTATTATCACAATTTTCTTGACAAAAAAAAACTCCAATATTATACAGTTCAATTAACATTAAAAAATATATTTTTGCAATGAGTTTAAAATAATTTGCAACAACTGTATATATAAATATCATATTTGCAAATATTTGAGTGAAAAAAATCATTAATTCTTAATACATAACCTGAAACCCATTTTTAGAATTAATAAACCATTTTAAAATTCATAAGAACCAAAAAGTTACTTATAATGTAACTGTAACTAATAACTAGTAACATTTATAAAAATATAACTAGTAACTGTAACTAGTTATATTTTTACCAATGTAACTAGTAACTCTAACTAGTTATGTCTCAAAAGTAACTTTAAAAACACTAATATTAATGCATTGAGATAAGGGACCAGAGGCTTCGACGTATCATGATACATGAGTTTTAGAAGAGTAAAATAATACTTCACCTAGATTGTCCTAAATAATACAAGATGTTCCTAAATGACCTGTCCACCTCTGGTCTAAAAATCTGCTATGGCCTGCTTATTTATAGGATACATTAAAACCCTAGAAAAATTATACACTGCATATGAATTAGATACATTAAAAAATACAATATTATTTTACCAAGATACTTATTTTTGAAGCAGGGTTTGTATTCCTCCATTTTGGTCAGACATGATGTTGCACCATAATATGCCTGGCTTATTACATTAGATGAATTAATATTTTATTCATTAAGTAGCTTTAAAATACAATTAATGATGCTTTCAGCAGAAAGACATTAAATTAATGATTCCTATTAAATTTTCTTAAATTTTTCTACAAAATAACGAGTATAATTATGCTCAGGTTTAACCTAATCCATCTTTTGTCTCATCAACCTTAAGACAATAAAAAGGCATCTCATTTATATTATATTTCTCTGAGATATATTTCAGCACCATATCTGCTCTGCTATAGTTATACTCCATTATGAATTTGAAGTGATGTATATTGTGCCGTTTGGATATTCATTTCATAATTTTATTTAATTCAAGATCTTTTTGGGTGGTGTATGAAAACATTATGTAAATAGTCCAGAAGAATAAATTATGTTTTCATCTTTTGCAGCAACCTTAATTTTTATAGAACTTGCCCCACAAAAAGGTAGCTCCTGTATGCTAAGAAGTAGCATCAAATCAAATATTGATTTAAGATGATAACGATTACGGTTAATTTGCTGTCTTACCAGAATTGTTGTTATCACAGTATCCTATTTTAATTAAAAATTTTATCATGCCATTTTGTTATTGATTTTAAATGAGCTTTCATTTTATAGCAGTCACTTCTTTACAGCTAAAGCATTTTTCCTATAAGCTGAATTCCTTTTGTCCAAATTCATAGCTTGGGTGACTAATGGGTGAATGTATATTTATTTTTATATATAGGTATGTTCTTGTTTATTAATTTGTATAAATTAAATAATATTTATTTAAAAATTTTGTTGTATTTTATTTTTAATTGTTATTTATTATATAAAATTTAATAACTAATAAAAAAAATTAAATTTAGGGCCCGGAAAAATTTTAGCGGCCATTTTTCAGGGGCAAAATTTTTTCGATGGGCCAGGTTTGTGTGCCAAAATTATTATTTTTTGGGGAAGGGGATGTTTGCCCCCCCTCTCTGGGTCCCCCCGTGGCTACGGCCCTTCACCTGACAGATACAACACAGATGTTATTCCAAATCTACGGAAATACGTATATTATTAAATTGTATTCTGGAGATGATTCATGCTCTGAGTGTGATGAATTCAAAAATAATAATTTTTAATTAATTTATATATAAATTAATCGAAAAATTAGAAAGAACCGATTCATTAATTATTAAAATGTAATAAATATGGAAAATAGGATTTCATATTAATACAAAAAAATTTTCAAAAGCATGCGAATATAGATTTACGTGAAAAGATATTTTCATATCGAAAATGAATTAATATTATCACAAATATATTAAAGTTTGTGATTATCACGAAACACAAAAACGCATTTTCTCCACTGAATTACACCGCAAATGCGTTATCAATAATGCAATGTGGCGAAGATGACATTTTTATATTTATAGACCTTTAGACAAACCAGGTAAATCTATAAAAATAGGCTCGAAATCAGGATTAGGCCTAGAAAAAATATAGAATGGCGAGGGGTTTTTAAAATAAAATTTAGAAAAAAATTCTAAGGAATAAATTAGAAATTTCTCTAATATTAAAATAAAATAATGTCTAATTTTTATTTAACTATAAAAATGCGTTTAATTATATTTTTCGATTAAAATCGGACACGCTAAGCGCACTCCTAAGATATAAATTTGGATATTTTGGGTTAATATGGGGCATAAATTAATAAACTTTTTATCTTTTATAAACATTAAGTCAAAAAATAATTGGGCCTCAGAATATTGTATATTGTTTGATACAATCAGCTTTAGTTAATGATGGAGTTAAAATGTAATTAATTTTGGTGTTAATGGAGGGAAAAAGTTATATTTACAAGGAGACTAGGGTAGTATTTTAAAAAATATAAAAATATCCCTAAAAAATCTAAGCTAAGAAATGTTTATATAAGGAGCCCATCTTGGATATTAAACCGTTATAAAAGCTAATTAAAAACATCCTCTCATATATATTCATTTTATCAATTGTTATGATTTATCTTTTTTAAATTTTAATTTAAACAGCTCTATACAAGTTTGGATTTTAAAAAATCTCATCTTTAAAAGCCTCACCAGGCCTGGATTTAAAAAAAAAGTCTTGAGTTGAATTTTTAATTATAAGCCAATACCAGATTTTTATAAAATTTTGTTTATTTTGCCTCCGAGTTTTTAAAAATTATGCTGATTCTATAAATGGATTTAAAATAAAATTGAAATTTTATAAAAAACGATTGAATACTAAAGTTACGTGATTTTACACAACTCAATTGTATAATTTATATCATTTAAACTTATTTTAACATATTCGGCCCAGCCGAGGTTTGTAATCTTTTGCTGTTGCAGATCCCTAATTACTTATTTATATATTTTAATAAACTCATTTAGAGACACTACCTCCTCATCTACGACGATTAAATAGTATACAAACCTTGATTTTGGACGATAATCCTATGGCAAATTTTCAATTTAGGTTCGTTTTATGGATTATAATGAAAATTTAATAATAGTTTAGGATAAGACCCATTTATTAATATATAAATATTTCCAATAAAATACAAATTAATCATATATATTTAGAAAATATGTAAAAAATAGATTATATTTCTTTATTATCATATTATTCTGATACCCAACTATGATTGCTATACTTGATTGTTTTTATATTAATTATATAGACAATTGCCCTCTCTTGTTGGATTAAAGATTTTAAAGCTTAAAAACACTGGAAGATATATTAATAATATACCTACAAATCTCGAAACCCTGATTAATCTCCATGGTAATATCTAAAAAAAAATATTTATAGCATTTTAGCTTATATAGCATTATTAAATATTATTTTAATGTAAAATGATACATGTAAAATTTAAAATACCACTTTATAGATTTGAAATGATAAACTCCTAATTTACAAGGATACCTAACAATTTTGAAATATTTAATACAATGTAACATGATATATATACATAATTAGAATTAGATTTATCGCACAACAATTTGACCTGGATTCCTGATCAACTATTTAAATTGACAAGTTTGCGTAGACTGAATCTTAGTAAGAACGCAATCACCTTGATGCCAATTAAAATAGGTAATGCTTTAATATTTGTTTCTTTGAGCTATAATATTATTTTAAAAAATCTCTGTAAATCTTTGGATTACTTTTGTTTATATTTCAAACCGCTAAAATTTTTTAGATGCATGGGAAAATCTGGAGGTACTAAATTTGTGTTCTAACTCCCTCAGATCGTTGCCCAGCCCTACCTGTAAGTTAGTCAAACTTAGGCGCTTATACCTTGACAATAATCAATTCGAGTACGAAGGTATACCACCTTCAATAGGTAAGTTGATGTCCCTTCAAGTGCTTTCACTGGCCGATAACCTTTTACAGACCTTACCAGATAGCATCTGCGGGTATTGCGAATTTTATTATAATATATTTAATTTATAGAAGCATTGATACATAAATTAATCGCAAATCGTATCAGATTATACTTAAAAATTTTTAGACTAAGTCTCTTATTATTATTTATAAAATAATTGAAAATGGAAGAAAGAAAGAATAAGGGAGACTGGGGAACAATTTCTTGTTGCCTTTTATTAAGGCGCTTTTTCTATATATATAAGATGTGAAAACCTTGGCGACACAATCAGCACTTCCGAAATAAATAACAGGATATATCCACTTTTTTAAAATATTTCAAATTTCTATTAAATGTACCAAATTAACTGAGGGACAGATGAGCCAAATGTACCTTTAACATCTTAATAATATATCAAAATACCATTATAAATTTCATATAATCTTTTATTATCCATTTTTATTAATGATAACACCATTGATTGCCATATATTCATTTATTTTTCATTATATTAAATTCCCATTAATATTCGAATGAAATGTTATATCTGATATTTGCGATTCTGTTGAATTTGAAAAAAATTTTGCTTCAATTTTATCCTGAGAAATTGAATGAAAAGTATGAAATTTTTGCTTTCCTGGTATTGAAGGCTCTTTATTGAATCTCTCTTCGCTCTTTCTCATATTGTCTTCCATAATATAGGAGAAATCTATTCCTTAATAAAAAAAATTATAATATATATTAATAAATTATAAATCTTATACCTTTAATATTTTCTTTACAATAGGCAAAAAACTCTTTAGGACGAGTTATTTGTTCTGAAACGGTCTTTGTAATCTAGCTCAGGCCACCAAACGTTTGACTGTACCTCCGACCCCGCCAAGCTGATTTGTTATGAAATGTGGCCCAGAAATGCCACTGAGCTTTTATTCCGAAATCATCTTAATGGTGGCAAAGATTGATTAAATTTTGCGATTTTTATATTATGCTGCTGCTCCATCTGAAAAGTAGAAGACACTATATACAACAAATTTGGAAAGAAAAATGTAGCGTTGGCTTGTAAAAGAATGACTGGTAGTCATACATATGATAAAATGGCAAGGAATTTACAAAGATATAGCAAAGGATTATTGCATCAAAATAAAATCTTAAAGACCATTGCTGACAATAGAGGTGGGCGCGGGCTTAATTTTTATTAACGGCCCGCCCGCTCACGATGGTTTTTAAAAATTCACGCTCATTCACGTTTACCACCCCACTCGCCCGCTCACGAAAGGCAATATTTTGATTCACGTCCAAAAATTCACGGTGTTTTTAAATTTTTCAAAACTTAATAACCTATAATTATATACTTTTTTGTATTTACTCTTTTTATTTATCTAATTCCATAATCAATATTAATAACAAAAAATAAATACAATTTATAAATCGAAATTTTTATTAAAAAAAGAAGAAGAATGCCCATGTATTTTTATTTCAATTGATTACGCCTTTCTTCCAACAAGCGATTGGCTACAGGAAATAATCTTTCACTAGATGCCGAACTTGCAGGGGCTGACAAAATTTTACTCGCTAAATTTTCAAAAAAAAAAGGAATTTTCCTGCTTTTAAAACTTCAAAATACGGTCATTGTTATTTGTCTTATGAGCGATGAATCTTTAAAGTTCATCCTCGCACCTTTCATCGGTAGATAATGATGTTTCATCAGAATCTAGAAATTCTCTAAATGTTTTATTTAGAATATATGGTTTTTTATAATGAATTATGACAGTTATAAATAATAATTGACCTTGGTATTGACTTATTCATATCATATTTTATGTCATTAAGCATTTTTATGGTTGTTTTATATATATCATCTTTTTCTTCTAATAAAAACTTCAGGTTTTTGAAATTTGGATCTAAAATTAAGCCTACTTTATTTAGTGGCTACTTAATAAATCTTTCTTTCAAAAGAAATCCTGTCCTGGGTGTTAATTGTTTTACTGTTTTTTTCCCCGTTTTAAGGTTTTAATTATTATTGTATCACCTTCAGAAGGTTGAAAAAATTTTACTAATTTTTGTTTCCATAGATTAACTCCATTTATTGTGGGTCGAGAATCTGCTCTCAGATTTTCCGAGCATTCTTTAAATATTGATAAAAAAATTTATAACTCGTGTATGATATTGATATCAATTGTGGCTAATCTATATAATTCTTGCTTGCTTTTCATAATATGATTTTAAGAAACTCTGTAACATGATATATACCGAGTTCGATTTAGTTATTACATCTTGTTTAAGGTGTGACCTAGTTTGCTATTAGCTGTAGATTGTTTGAAATATTGTACGGTAAACAATTGTCAAAAATAGGGCTGTGCCGATTCACATATTTTTCACCGATCCGATATTTATATTGATTTTTCACCACCCCCCTTTGAACTAAATGTAATTAAGAAATCAATATTTTTAATTTTTTTATTTCTACAATAATTAAAAAAAGTTTACGGATATTGGTAGTATTAAATTAATTTTTCATTATTCCTCCCCGTGGATTTAGAATTCCGCAGACAACTTATTTTGCAAAATTGTCTTTTGTAAAATATTTTCATAATTCAGATACCATATTTAAATCTTTTGTTTAAAGTATAAATGATAAAATTGGCGTTATTATTTAAAAAGATTTAAAATATATAAAAGTTTGGGTGTTCTTTTCTATTTTATAAAAAAAACTATAAATAAAATTTAAGGGGGTTGTGCATTTTCATTGTAAAAAAATTATTTAGAAAATATTATTAATGTAAAATAAATATACATAAAATAACAAAAAAAAGAAAAGTATAAAGATAGGATCGACTTTTTACAGGTATCGGTTTGATTCGATATTTTTGGAAAACGCTAAATATCGGTGCCGATCCGATATTTAATATCGGCACAGCCCTAGTCAAAAATATAATGCATAATATTATTTAATATATGGCATATATATAATAGCCTTTCGTCATCTTTGAATGCAATTATAAGATTTGCTCTGTTATCAGTCACAACTATACATTTATTTAAATATTTCTACTTTTGTATATTCTTCTAAAATTGAATTAACTATTAATATTGACCCATATTTTTTTCATCCATTACGCTTGTGGCCAAAACAAGTGTTTTTAATTTAAAATCTTTATTGATAATATGTCCTGTAATGGTTCAAAACTTCGATTTTTATACTCATCCGTCCAAAAATCAGTGGTTATGGACTAGTAGATCATGCTTTTAATCTTAATTTTAGTTTCATCGTATATTTTTGGAGCTATAGTATTCATGAGAGTTTTTTGGCTTAGTATATTTTTTATATTTTGTTGTCCATATGTAACATCTATTAAATTATGGCCTAGGTAAAATCCTTCAATCTTTGTTGCATTTAAATGTCGAAGATCTTTACAAATATATAACACTTTTCTGTAAAACTACTTTTGATTTGCCTGACATTTGTCTTTTAAACATATTATATGTTGACTGATTAGAATGATTTTTTATGGAACATTTATGTCTAAATAAACTGGCAGTGCCTGTTTTACATTTATATGACATCACGTTTTGGCAAATTGTACATTTTACAAAATTTTGTAAGAAATTGTTAAGAAATTATCTCATATCTTGCTTTTTCTGTTTTCTGGAGCTTTAAATTCAATATCAATGTCGTTCCTTCTTATTTTAGTCAACATCTCCGATTTTGAAATCATGCCCATCTCAATTATCATTATTATCTCCACTGCTTTGTGTATGATTTTCTTTTTCAAGGTCACTTAAAATTATTTATTTAATAAATAAAATGAATGAATTAAGTATTTTCCTAAAATTATTTAAACCAGAGATTATGGTAAAAAAATTAAGACCATTTATTTAAAATTTAACTAAATAATATATTAGAAAAATATATCATGTGATTTTCCTTAGACTGATTAATAAAAAGGTATAAACCAAGATTAATAAAATAAGATTTTAAATTATCTTCATCAATACATTTATTCAAGAAAGCAAGATACTATTAAATTGAGTAATGTTTTTTAAAATATTTGTATTTTTCAGGTTGTTGTGTTTTATTGGGTCTATTAGTATAGCTTATATAGCTGGCTTTCCTTTAGATCTTTGAGTTTCTTAATTGTTAATAAAGAAGCATATTTTATTAAAAAAATATGAAATGTTTTTCCTTGAGGAGTATGTAAAACTAAGATTTGATTAGGAATCTAATCCTATTTTTTAGCTATAAGTTTCATTGATAAATTAATACTTATATATAATATAATATTATAAATTCTACTCCTTCAATACTCATACATAACATTAAAGCTAGGGTTGTGCCGATATTAAATATCGGATATCAAGATAACGGATCGGGCCGATACCCGTTAAAACCCGATCCGATCTAATCTTTTTACTTTCTCTTTTTTGTTATTTTATGTATATTTATTTTACATATATAATATTTTCTAAATAATATTTTATTTAAACAATGCAAATGTACAACACCCCTTAAATTTTATTTATTTTTTTAAATAGGTTTATAGTATTTTAAATTTTTTTTTATAAAAATAGAAAGGAACACCCATTTTATTTATTTTAAATCTTTTTAAATAATAACGCCTGTTTTATTATTTATACTTTAAATAAAACAATTTTTTTAAATATGGTATATGAATTATGGAAATATTTTACAAAAGACAAAGATATTTTGCAAAATGCATTATCTGCGGAATCATCTGAGTCTGCATTCAATACGGCAGGGGATATAGATAGTCCATAACGTAGAAGCTTATTGCCAGAAAATCTAAAGGCTCTCATATTTATTTAAAAAATATATTATAATTTTATATATTAAATGTTACAATTTTATAATTCATACCAACATAGAATAGATATATTATTAAATATATATTTTTTTAATTAGTCCTAATTATAGAAATAAAAAAAATTAAATGAAATGCATAATTTGATTGCTTAAAAAATATTGATTTTTTAATTACATTTGGTTCAATGGGGGATGATGAAAAATCGTTATAAATATAGGATCGGATTTGAAGCAATATCGGATCGGATCTGCGAAAAATGTTGATCGGCGCAGCCCTAATTAAAGCATTTATTAAAAATAATAAAAAGTATTAACTTACATTGACATTTGCAAATATAATAAAATTTATAATTTAATGCTAAGAATTACATTTTTATAGTAAAATAATATATTAATAATAACAAACTTGAAAGAAGATCAACATACACATGTAAATAAGCTTGATAAATTTGATTTGAACATATAAATTTTAGTTTAAGCAAAAGTTAGCAAAAAGTCTAAAACACCTAAACATAAAAAGAATGTAGAATTAGCTTCATTATAGTGCGCACAAATTGAGCGTTTCAAACGCTGCGTTGCAAACGATTCATTTAAATTGCGCACTTTTACTTTTTCCAATTGCGCCAATTTTAAAAAACGCAATCTGGTTTGCTTTTTTTGTAACTTTTTTCTATAAAACAAAAATTTTGATACCATAAAATATGGATATTCTTTCAAAAATGTAAGAAATATGATATATTTTTAAATATTAATATTTATATTTTTAGGGCATGGGATGACCAAAATATATTATATTTTTAAATATGAATTGATAGACAACATACAAATGATTGGAGTATATAAAATTTATGGAGTCTACAATTGCTGATAGGCTAATCACTAGTAATTTTGATACTAGTAAGAGTATTAAGAATGTTACTTCATCCCCAAGCCAAAAATTGGGTGAAAAATTATTGAATCTTATAAATAGAAGCCATCTCCAAACAGGTAAAATTTATAATTGTCTTGAAAAACTTATATTTTATCAAGATTATTTCTACTTTCAATGGAAGAAGGGCTAGATGGTTTTAGTATACCTAACCAATATCTTTTTAAATCTGAAGTAATGAAAATCTTCTATTCCATCACAATGAATAATTACATTCAACCAATAGAACAGTCAATAGAAAATGGTCAAACTGCTCTTGAAATATTTAATAGCATTAATGAATAAATTATGTCTATATATATATATATTATTTGTAAATATATATGATTTTATTGTATTTATTTTTATTCCTAAATAAAATTTTATTCGTCCAAATTTGTTATTAGATATCTTTTACTATTTAAAATAAATATAAAGTTTTTATTTATTAAAATAGTGTCTAAATTTATTAATAAAGATTGAAAAATTAGATTTGTTAAAATATAAATACTTAATTCTAATAAAAATAAAAGTGCTTTGAATAATATAGAAATTATAATATAATTAATAAATAACTCATTAACTTCAATTTTTTATTAAATTTTTTGTCAAATAAATTCAAGGATTTTAAATTATATGGTGATCACGATCAGAATAAAGATTTAATAATTTAAAAACAATTCTATTTTATTATATAAATTTATTTATTAGGTATTATTCTAAATAATAACAATAATCAATTACATATTTGATACAATTCATTATTTATAACAAAGATATATAAAAAAATAATTAAAAATTTAAAAATTTTTTAAATTTATCTCTAAAAATTCTTGATTCAATTGTTGATGAATTGTTTTCTCTGTCTATGCCAATAAAGAATGGTCTAGTGGTCAGATTTGACATTGTATCTTTTACATATAAAGAAAATATAAGGTACCAAAATATTCCTTCATTGCTTATTATTATATTATGTAGCAAATTATCTATTTATGTCTGTAAAGGCCAACAAAACTATTGTAAATCTATGTTTGTAACAAAAAAATTGAGATCTACTAATGAGAGGATATTTTATATAAATATATTTTTCATCCAAGGCAACAATACAATTGGGGAACCCTGAATAGATCAGGAACTCTTGGGAAATCTAAGTAATTATATATTAAATTATTAGAATATATAAATTTAATGTACTCTTCCCCAATCCTTTCATGAAGGCTTTAGCATGTAAATATCTTTGATTCCAAATTGCTCTGCATACTGATTTAACTATGTATGCAACATAATTGTAAAAAGAATATACCAGCTATTAAATATCTTTTATGTTTTGTCAATAAATATAATGCTAACATCTTTTCCTGATCCATACTAATAAACTCCATTTATTTACAAAATTATAAATAATTTAAAAACGCCGCCTCAATTTAAACAAAGCAAGCGTTACATTTTTTTATTAAAAAAAGTACGGCAAAACGCAAACGCTCAATTTGTGCGCACTTTTATACCAGATGTTGTTTATAAAATGCGGAAGATTTTTTGTTTTCAAAAACTAATCTTTTTTTAAAAAAGAACTAAATTAAATAATAAATATATATTATTTATAATTATAAAATTGCAAATTTATATTTATAAGAAACAATTATAAAAATTAAAATTTCCGTATTTTACGGGATATATATGTTTACGCTCGAGAAAAATTTTGGGAAGGCCCGTCACGTCTAATAATTGAAAATTTATTCACACTCACGCACGCGTAATTTCACGGCCCGCACCCATCTCTAAAAAGTATATCAAAATGTATCTTAAATAGTATCCAAACACATACAGATACCACATTTTTATTTCTAAATACTTTAACAACTATAGTAAATTAGCAACAAATTTTTAAACCATAATTTGTAGCTTTTATGCAAATAAAAATGTCAATTTTTGGTAAAAATGCATATTTCGGAATTGGGTTGCCTTGGCCTCACCAAGGTTTTCATATTTTATATATATTTATAAAAGGTGTCTAAGTAAAAGGCAACAAAAAATTTTCAAAAACCAACTCCCTTTAATGCTTAAAAACACGGGTAAAGCAATATAGGCTAACCGGAAGTCAAAGCAAGTTGGGGCCAATTTTTTATTATTATGATAGACCTTTAGAGATTTTTTTTAACCTACAATTTGATTTAAAAATTTTATAGATTTGAAAGTCAGTATTTCTCCCACCTTTGAGGCCCTGTATCTCGGAGACCTGATGTTCTAGCGAGCTTAAATAAACGACTTTCTCATTTTTTTCTATCTAAACAATTCCAGAAATTTTAAACAAAAGGGGTGGGCCTAAAATGTGCCTTTTTTGATCGATTTGACATGAATGGCTCTGCTTATTTTTTGGACCCCCAATATCAAGGGGAGCATCTTACTAGATTGAATTTAATGAAGCATGTAATGTAATAAAAGAATTAGGCATTTTTATTAGGTGGTGATGATTAATAAAGTGATATCATAAATTTTAGTAGTAAAAGCGGCATATTTAATAGCAAATTATGTCGAAACATTAACTTCCATAAGAAACAATAAGATTCCGGTCTCAGGATAGTGGAATGAGCTTTGTCCAACATGCCCATTAAGTGAAATGACATTTCACTAACAATTCCTAATTCTGTTTCTTCTTCAGAAAGAAATTAGTCAGTTTGGGTTAATAATCTTCCTAAAACAGAAATAGATTGAAGATCTCCACAACAGGAAAATTGATTAAAAAATATTAGAGAAAATGATTATAGAATGTAAATCAGATCAAGACTCTGTCACTCAGAGCAAAACATTAGTTATTGAATGACAATGAATTTAAAAAAGTATTAATTAATATTGTCTTAAAAACATTTATTTAAATTTGACTGTATTTGCGAATCGTATTTTACCAATCAAATACACAACCCTGAAATGTTATTTTTTTAATATATGTTTTTAATACTGTTCAAATTTTTTTATAATTTTCTTTAAAAAAAATAAAGATTAGAAAAAAAAAAAATTCTCCAACTATGGAACCCTAAATTTGAAAAAAAGTTCATGGTTCTCACAGCTCTTGGCAAAATAGTTAAAATAAATTTGGACATAACTTTTTTTATTGAACATAATTAATTTTGACATTATTTGTTATTTTTAATCATAGACTGATCAATACAAAAGCATTTGGAATGTGCCTACACATACATTTTAGATATTCTTCATCTCTGCAAATATTTTTAAAATTTTATTTCATATACCCTACAAATTTTATTAATGTTACTCTTGCTCAGTCATTTCTTTTTATATGGAATAGACATTAATATCTCATATTTTTTAACTAGCTTTCAGGGTGTTAAATATATTAAATGAATTCTACTTATGTGATCGATAGTGTTTAAATCTATACCAAAAAAGTATAAAGTTAAGAGAGTGAAGTGAATTGGTTATTTTGCCAATGGCAGAACATAAGTTAAATAAAATCTTAAAAAAATGAAAAATTATTTGGGTCGGGTAGAAAAAAAGTCTAATAAATGGGATAAATTAAGAAAAATATTTTTTTTAAAAAAATCACGGGATTATTAAAATCGTCATTTTACAAATTAATTTTTACTGACCAACCCTATCTTCGATAAAAAATTAATTAAGATTGCTTATTATAAAGAATTATAATGTAATAATTAATTTTAGGAATTTATGATTTTATTTAATGCTTGATTAATAAATTAAATAGGTGCACAAATTTAAAATCCCTGATCTTAAACAATAACCGATTGACAACACTTCCAGGAAACATCTACAATTTAGCAAATCTGAAAGTAATATTTACAACTTTTATTTTAAATAAAACGAACTGATTTATAAATTTTTAAATTTCACTATAATCTCTTTCAATTTTTATAAGATGAATGCGCAAGGCGCGTTATGAAATAGAGGAAGGATAAAAGATCTAACTGAGAATATCGAAATTTTAGATTTAACCTAATAATGGTCATATTTTTTCCAGCTTATGAAAATGCTAAAAATTTTTAGATATGATTTTTTTTAGGGGCCGATATTTTAAACCGATTCGATATTTTCATTGTTTTTGGTTATTTTTTTATTGTACATATAATTATATGATAATTTTTAATCTATAATTGATTTCATGATAATAATAAATAATAAAAGGAATCAGAATTCTATTTTATTTGTAATGTTTATAAAAAATCTAATTATTTTAAAGAGAAACATGATGTTATATCATCAGCAACAATAAAAGATTTTTAAGATATCTAGGTTTATGTTTAGCTTTGTTAACTGGCTTGTTAAGACGATTTAAAAAAAAGGCTAAATTAAGATTTTGGTTAAAAAAATTACCTAAGCTTAGAGATTTTGCCCGCAGATGGTAGAAAAATTAGGACATCTATTAGCCGCATTTCGAGGCATGGTAATAATATTTGGCGAAGAACTTTATTTAGCCGTTTTTTAAAAATTGGCTAAATTAAACGCTTATTAATTTTTGGAGAATAAAAACAAAATACACTTATTATTCCTATAAGTTAGTTTTTTTGATTTTTTTAATGACATACTTTCAATGGTTTGTATTAGGCCTATTTATTCGAATCGAATAATACGAATAATAAATTATTGTTTTTTCCGAATACGAATAATTATTTATTAGATTTGAATAAAACGAATTCGGAATAATTAATAAATTGCTTTTAATAAATCTAACATTTGTCATTTTTATTTGATGACCTTCCCATCTGACATGTAATGTGTTCATAAAAAAAAACTAGCACAAATTTAAATCCCTGAACTGAAAATTAAAGCAATATTTAAATTTTTATTTGCCGTATTTTTCGAATCTCACGAGAAGTTTATTTTTTGAATCTCATAATAAATTATATTAAAAAATTACACAAACCAATGGTACAAAAATATATTACACCTCTATAATAAATTATTAGTAGCCTAATTATGTTACAGGAGAATGCTTCTGATGAAATAGTTATGCTTGATGTTGAATTTGACAAAATTTTCTCACAAAAAGAGCGAATGGGATCAATATCAAATCAATAAAGACGGTGAAAAGGCGGCTTCAATCATTTCAGGAGCATAAAATGTAAAGGCAAAACAACATCCCCTCTTTCCCATTCAAAAATGGAAAAGTCCCAATCAAAAAAGGAAAAGTTTTAATCATAAAAGGAAAAGGAAAGGAAAAGTGTCAGTCAAAAAAGGAAAATTCCCAAAAAGAAAGGAAAAAGTTCGATCAAAAAAGAAAAAGCGTCAAACAAAAAAGGAAAAGGTACAATCAAAAATGGAAAAGAGTCAATCAAAAAAGGAAAATTCCCATTCTAAAAAGGAAAATCGTAATTTTTTTAAAAAATATTATCAATTTTTATTTATTTTTGTCATTCCTTATTTTATTTCTAACTTTTTGAGATTTTTTTACAGTTATTTCTTACTGTATCTTTTCTCAATTTATTTCTAACTTTTTACCATTTTCTTTACTTTCTTTTTTTACTATATCTTCTCTCGATTTATTTTCTCATTTTTGATAATTCTTTTGTATTTTTAAAAATAATTTATAAATTTTGATCCATTTTTTAAACTTCTTTACGTTTTTATTCATCATACATACAATATTCTTTTTATGGTTTTTTATTGTAATCTTTTACATACATTTCTAACCTTTTCAATCTCTTTAAGTTATTTTTAATCTTTATTTTTTTGAGCTTTTCTGAATTTTTTTTTCTTCTCATTTTTGATAAATTTAAAAAAAGAATTTAAAAATGATTATATTTTATTAATTTACATATCGTTTGGTATTACAGTTTAAACTTATTTAATTTTAAAAAGGTACATTATAACCAAACGATTAATTTAATTTAGCAATTGCAATTAAATACAATAATCATTCTTAAATTTTTATTTTTTAAATTATCAAAAATGAGAAGAAAAAAATTGAGAAAAGGTCAAAAAAATAAAGATTAAAAATGACTTAAGAGATTGAAAAGGTTAGATGTATGTAAAAGATTACAATAAATCTTAAAAAGAATATTGTATATATATGTATGATAAAAAAAAACGTAAAGAATTGTTAAAAAATGGACCTAAATTTATAAATTATTTTTAAAAATACAAAAGAATTATAAAAATGAGATGAAAAAAAATTGAGAAAAGTATGGTAAGAAAAATAAATTGGGAAAAGATACAAATAAGGTAAAGAAATCTCAAAAAGTTAGAAATAAAATGACAAAAATAAATAAAAATTTTAAAAAAATTGAAAAATTTAATAATATTTTTTAAAAAAATTACGATTTTCCTTTTTAGAATGGGAATTTTCCTTTTTTGATTGACACTTTTCCTTTCCTTTTGGGAATTTTCCTTTTTCGATTGACACTTTTCCTTTTTTGATTGGACCTTTTCCTTTTTTGTTTGACACTTTTCCTTTTTTGTTTGACACTTTTCCTTTTTTGATCGGACTTTTTCCTTTCTTTTTGAGAATCTTCCTTTTTTGATTGACACTTTTCCTTTTTTGAATGGGAAACCCTTGTATTAATCATTATAATAGGTTTCATTCACATCTAGGGTTTACCTATCTATACAAGTAACATCAACTGCTTGTAAAAGGCTTTTCTTAGTTGGAACTAATTTGTTGTCTAAAAAAATCATATGTCTTATAAGGAAGAAAATATAAGAAAAACTCTGCCTTAAATATTGGCTTAGAATCATGAATTAAATTAATGATATACATTTTAATTTTGTTTATAACTTGATTACATATTTTTTTAAATATTATTATAATCATTTTTTCTGTTTTAAATCAATTGCAATAAAAAAATTTGTCAATATAGTTGAATATTGTAATGTAATTTGTGGTAAATTATCGAATTATTTTATTACGTATACAAAATCATAATCATCATTTATTATTCAAATTAATCTCAAATTATATAATAATAATAAAATAAACATTTTACAAAAAATAACAAAAACAACAATTTAATACACATTATTTATCCCCAGTCTATCTGGTTTCGATCGTATCCTTTTGGGATATCGATCTTGACTTGTTTCTTCCTCCCTCTCTTTTAAATTCATTTCATCGTTATTTTTTATTACATCCTCTTTGTTTACTATCTCTTTGGTTTTCTCTTCTACCAGTTCCCTCTTCTAATTCGTATTCTTCAATTAATATATTTTCGGTTCTTTTCCTTAATTGGTCCGTATGACGTATAATCGCATTACCCGGTATACTTATTTCACAACGTTGTGGTCCGAGTAAGCCTTTAATAAAGGCTTCTTCTCATTTTTTTTCTTTATTAAAGGCGCGACCAAACTTTTTCATTTATCTGGAATTTTTGATTGTGGTATTCTAACTTCTACTTTTTGTTCCCCCGTTAATATTTGATCTAACAATAGTCTAGGTTTAAATTTTAGTAGTATTTCAGCGGGACTGTTCAGTTTCTGTCGCTGGTGTATTTCTGTAATTGTAAAGAAAATTAGCTAGACTGGTTTCTAAATCCCTCTCGTTTCTTTTATTCATACTCTGTTTAAAAGTTCGAACTAAACGTTCGGCCATGCCATTTGTCTGAGGATGGTAAGGACTTCCGTGCACTAATTGAATCCCATTTTTTCACAAAAATCATTAAAATCTTTGCTGCTGAATTGGGGTCCGTTATCAGAAACGATTATCTTGGAAAATCCGAATCTTGCAAAAATATTTCTTAATATTTTTATAGTGCTTTCGGTTGTAGTGCTAGCCATGGGAACTATTTCTGGCCAGCCACTGCTACCAGTCAATAATGATTTTGAAATGGTCCAGCATAATCAATATGTATTCGGTGCCATGCTTTTGGTGGTTTTGGCCAATTTTGAATTGCTGTCATTTGAGGCATATCGTGTTGTTCCTGACATTCTCTACATTTTCGACCCATGTTTCTATATCTTGGTTTATATTAGGCCACCACGCATATTGTCGTGCTCTCATTTTCATTTTTACCATTCCGATATGTCCTTGATGTATCATGTCCAACACGTTGTTTCGGTATTGTTGTGGTATTATCATTTTAGTTCTCCATAATAAACACCTCTCTCTGTTGTAATTTCCTCTCCTTTGGCTATACTTCTTTAAACATGCATCATAGTTTATTGGCCATCCATCTATTGTATATCTGTATAGATTAGAAAGTATATCATCTCGTATTGTTTCTCTTTTAATTTCACTTGCATTTAAAAGTGTTTCACCCACCTGTATTTGATCTATCGTTTCTTCTTCTGATATTGGAGTTCCCTTTAGGGGTAATCTAGATAGCATGTCAGCATTTGCTATTTGTCTACTACTTTTGACTTCTATTTCATATTAGTAACCTGCTAATAATAAAGCCCATCTTTTTATTCTGGCAATAGATGTTGTTGGTATATCTTTTCTTGGATGAAATAAACTCATTAATGGCTTGTGGTCTGTTTGTAATGTGAACTTTTTTCCATATATAAATTCTTTGAATTTTGTAACCCCAAATATGATGGCCAGAGCTTCTTTTTCTATTTGGCTATAGTTTTTTTCAGCTGCATTTAGCGTTCTTGGCGAATGCAATTGGTCTCTCCTTACCCTCTTCTATTTACTGCCCCAATTCCTATGGCTGATGCATCTGTTGCTAATATAATGGGTAATTTTGGATCATAATGTTGTAATATTGGAGTACTACATATTTCTTGCTTTATTTTTTTATACGCGTCTTTGCATTCATTAGTCCATCTCCAAACGACTGCTTTTTCTAATAATTTGTATAATGGTTTGGCTTTGGCTGCAAAATTTGAAATAAATTTT